GTGGGTGGGAGGAGGGATGGAGGGAAGGACCAAGAGATGGAGGGACAGATGGTCAGATGGAGATGGTGGATAGATGGGTGGGTGGTTGTAAGAGGGGCTGGCTGGATGGGATGGATGGAAATGGAGATGATGGAGATGGATGGATGGATGGATGGATGGAGAAGGAGATGATGGAGATGGATGGATGGAGGAGATGATGGAGATGAAGATGATGGACGGATGGATGGACAGATGTCTACAAGGATGGCTGGTCATTTAAGGGGCTGGAAAGATGGGTGTAGGGGAACCCCACTGTTGGCCCTCTACATGAGGGCCAGGAGAGTGGAGGTCACTTCCCCCCACCCCCTATAAAACACCCCCGAGATGCCCCAGGGGACCCGGCCAGAGCCTTTTACTTCTATATCGAGCTTGTCCCCTTCTTCTCTCTTCCCATTTATCCTGGCCACCTTCTGGAGCTCCTTCAGGGCTTTCTGGGACTTGCCCACCATGACCAGCCAGCGAGCTGACTCTGTCAGCCACCTGTGGAGGAGATGGGGGGACAGGAGCCCACAGATCATCCCACCATCCCTCTGACCCTGTCCCCAGCCATCTACCCCTCCAGCCATCTCTCCATGCTTCCCTCCATCCAACCTTCCATCCATCCTTGCACCTTCCATCCATGCATCCATCTGTCCATCCATCCATCTGTCCATGTGTCCCATCATCCATCCTTCCATCCTTCCATCCTTCCATCCATCCATCCCTCCCTCCCTCCCTCCATCTGTCCATGTGTCCCACCATCCATCCATCCATCCCACCATCCATCCCTCCATCTGTCCATCCATCCATCCTTCCATCTGTCCATGTGTCCCACCATCCATCCATCCATCCCACCATCCATCCCTCCATCTGTCCATCCATCCATCCATCCTTCCATCTGTCCATGTGTCCTACCATCCATCCCTCCATCCTTCCATCCATCCCTCCATCTGTCCATCCATCCCACCATCCCTCCCTCCATCTGTCCACGTGTCCCACCATCCATCCCTCCATCCTTCCATCCATCCCTCCATCTGTCCATCCCTCTCTCCATCTGTCCGTGTGTCCCACTATCCATCCCTCCATCTGTCCATGTGTCCCACCATCCATCCCTCCATCCCTCCATCATTCCATCCATCCCTCCATCTCTCCATCTCTCCATCCCACCATCCCTCCCTCCATCCATCCCTCCATCTGTCCATCCATCCCACCATCCATCCTTCCATCATTCCATCCATCCCTCCATCTCTCCATCCCACCATCCCTCCCTCCAGCCCTCCCTCCATGTGTCCTACCATCCCTCCATCCATCCATCCATCCCACCATCCATGACTCCCTTCCTCCTCCTCACCATGAGTAGAGGAAGAAGCAGAAGAAGGGCAGGGACACGCTGAGCTGCAGCCAGCGCCAATCAGGGACGGCGTAGGCGATCCCGGCCAGCAGGAACTGCCCCGTGGTGTAGCAGTAACCCATGAAGGTCCCTGCCAGCGCCCGGGTGCGGGTGGGCATCCACTCCAAAGCTGCCGAGACACACGGAGATGTGGACCAGAGCAGGAAGGGTGCCCTGGGCCAGGACTATGGGGCTGGTGGTGGCCACCACGTACAGAGGGAGACACTGTTGAGGACGATGCCGGAGAAGGCCATGCCCGTGAGGAAACGGAAGAGGCAGTAGACGGTGAACGTTGGGGAGAAGGAGCAGCACGTCCCCATGGTGCCCATCTGGAAGTAGCACCAGATGAGCAGCGACCGGCGGCCAAACCTGGGTGGTGAGGAGGAGGAAGAGAGGGTGAGGAGGATGAAGAGGGGGCGAGGTGATCCCCATGATGCTGTCCCAACTCCTCACCTGTCCGAGAGACCCCCGAAGATGATGCCACCCACCAAGACTCCGGCCATGTAGAGCGACTGGGCCAACTGCTTCAGGCCCCGGGAGCTGCACACCAGGTCCCACTGGTGAGGGACAAGGACATGGGGTGGGACAGAGACCAGGGGGAGACACCTCTGGACTCCCTCCTGCCCCCCAAAACTGGCCATGGTGGCTGGTAGGGTTGACCCAACACAAGAGTCAACGGATGGCCAATGGAAACACCAAGAATGTGCCAATAAACACTTGGCCACCCTTCCCAGCGTCCCCATGGTTGGAAGCTCCTTCCAGGGGGTCACCTGGCCCCTTTTTGAACCCCTTGTTGATGGCCACCAACTCCCTCATCCCCCCCATTTTTGTCCTAAGCTCTCACAGCATTGAGCGCCTCCACCAAGGGGTTGAGTGGGGAAGATGCTCCAGTTGGAAGAAGTCAACGTGGTGATGACAGCGGACCCTTCGCTGGTGCCTCAAGGTGGGAACTGCACACAGGATTGGGTGAAACGTGCCACCAGCCCCAGATCCCACCCCACCACTGCTGCCATCCTACCTCGGTGATGATGGTGCTGGTGAAGACGCTGCGGTCGTAGGTCCAACCATCATGGCACGGTTCTGTCTCCGGCCAACTGCTATTGGGAGCCGAACCATTGGCCTCCAAAAGCCACCACTGAGGTGACACGAAGCGTTGGCACCGCTCACCGTGGGGAATCGAGACCCTCAGCAGGTCCTGGGGGTCGAGGCCGGTGGCGTTGGCCTCCCACCGAAGGCGGCAGTGATGGTCGTTGGTGGCGGCCGTGAAGTTCTGCAGAAGGTTGTGACTGGCCATCATGAAGACGGGAAGGGACAGGAGGAGCAACGAGGCCACCTGGAAGCGTCCCATGCCCCCCACGTGCTCCAGGAGGTTGGCAAAAGCCATGATGCCACCGTGAGACCCCGGGAACGCCCCACAGCCATGCACGCCTGCCCCAAAAGGGATGGATTTCACCCCCAAAATGCTCCTCTGGCTCCGGCGGTGTCCTCGCTCCCCAGGCGCTGGAGATGGTCTCCTTTATAACCCGGCCACCGGCTGTTTGGGGTTAATATTTGACATCTGGGGTGGGGTTTTTTTTTTTTTGGTGATTGTTATTTATTTTTTTATTTTTTTCCCAGAAAAATAAAGGCAAGGAGGCAAAAGTGCAGGCAAGGACAATGCAAAGGTGGCCAAGGGCCACCAAGCACCTCCAAAGGGTGACCAGAGCCAAAGCCATGGGCAGCACTTCCCTCCGCTCCTCCTGGCAGCCGAAACGTCCCCAAAATTGGAGCAGGAAGAAAGCAAATAATTGTCTTTTTAATTTTATTTATTTATTTTCCAGCGTTGCTTTTTTTTTTTTTTTTGAGGGGAAAAAGGTGGCTTTTGGAGACGAGCCATCTGAGAGCAACCTCCTTCATCTGGCTCCGTGGGGTTACCCTCAGGTGAGCATCCCGGAACGGCCCTGGCGGGGGGACAACTCCTGCCTTGGGCCATTTTTTTTTTTTTTTTCTGGCGTTGCTTTTTTTTTTTTTTTTGAGGGGAAAAAGGTGGCTTTTGGAGACGAGCCATCTGAGAGCAACCTCCTTCATCTGGCTCCGTGGGGTTACCCTCAGGTGAGCATCCCGGAACGGCCCTGGCGGGGGGACAACTCCTGCCTTGGGCCAACGTATGGCCTTCGCCGGCCCCGTTGGGTTAAATTTTAGCGATTTCCGTGATGGAAAAGGGACCGAAAGGTGCTGACGGAGGTGGCCCTGCTTGAGTCAGCGCATTCTCCACCGGGGGGTTAATTTTTGATGGGGTTGCACCAAGGAGGGGGTTGCTGGGGCCAAGGGACACGTCGGCAACGGGAGCAAGGGCCAGGATGGCCTCGGGGGGGGTCGGAAATCGGGGAAGGGGCATCATGGCGGCAGCCCCATGGGTTGCTGGGAGGGAGCTGGGGTGGGATTTGGGAGCTCTTCACCGTTCCCCTTCTTCTCTGAGACTTGGGGGACCCCTCTCCCGGGTGGGTTTGGTGTTATTGGGTGTCATCTTGTTGGAGGTGACCTCCAACTTGATCTTCCTGGGTGCCATCTTATCGGTGGTGACCTCGGGGGACAAGGTTATGAGGTGTCATCTTAGCGAAGGTGACCTGCACCGTGGTGTTCTTGGGCAAGAGGTTATTGGAAGTGACCTTGGGGACAAGGTTATGAGTTATCATTGGAGGTGACCTCCAGCGTGGGTGTTCTGAGGTGCCATCTTATTGGAGGTGACCTCAGGGACCAGGTTACGAGGTGTCATCTTATTGAAGATGGCCTCCAAGGTGTTCTTAGGCAGCATCTTATTGGTGGTGACCTCAGGGACAAGGTTATGAGGTGTCACCTTATTGGTGGTCACCTCCAAGGTGGTGTTCTTGGGCACCATCTTTTTGGAGGTGACCTCAGGGACACAGTTCTTAGGCATTTTCCTATTGGAGGTGACCTCAGATATGGTTATTGGGTGTCATCTTATTAGAGATGACCTTGGGTTGGCTCAGACAACACCCCGAGACGTTGTCCCCACCAGGGCTGCTTTATTCCTCCAAGAACTTCCCCTGCCCCACACAGGGAGGTCACCAGCCATGGGTACAGATTTGTACCCATCCCCAGACAAGGCTGTGGGGACCCATGGGGGAGGGTGGTTGCCGGTGGCCGAGCATAGGGTGCTGTCCCCCCACACCCCATGGTCCTTCAGGCCTCCTTCTGTGGAGCCTTGTCCTGGGGCTGGAGGGGAATCTTCTCTTTGGGGTCATCCGTCTTCTTCCGCTTGGCCCTGGAGGGAGGAAGATGAGGAGGAGGAGGGTCCTTAGGGCATGGCAGGATGGATGAGCCACCAGCAGGGTGAGGAGCAGCCTGCAGCGTGTCCATCCATCTGTCCAACCCCTTATATCACTGGTTCTTCTGCCAGCGCACCCATCCACTTGTCCCTCAACACATCAACCTGTCCCTCCGTCCAAAATCTCTTCATCATTCAGTCCATCCATCCACCATCCAACCATCCACCATCCAACCCTCCATCATCCAACCATCCCTCTATCATTCAGTGATCGTCCGTCCATCCATCCAACCCTCCATCATCCAACCATCATCCATCTAAAACCCCACCCCCTTTGTCCACCAACCCATCCCTCCATCCATCAAGCATGTTCATCCAGTTCACCCAGTTCAGCCAGTTCACCCAGTTCATCCAGTTCACCATTTCTCCATCCGTTCACAAAATCCAATCATTCATCTACCACTCCATCCATCCATCCATCATCTACCCATCCATCCATCATCCCTCCATCCATCCCTCCATCCATCCATCCATCCATCCATCCTCCCTCCATCCATCCATCCATCCATCCATCCATCCATCCATCCATCCATCCATCATCCACCCATCCATCCTCCATCCATCCATCCATCCATCCATCCATCCATCCATCCTCCATCCACCCATCCCTTCCTTCCCACGTGCCCACCTGCTCTCCACCTCCTCGATGGTGTCAGGCAGTGGCTTGTTGAGGGTCTCCGGGAGGAAGCCGGCCGCCACGGCTGCCACCACGGGGGCCACCCCATAGACGGCGGGGGGCAGAAAGGGGTAGTACTCATCCATCATCTTCACCAGCGGTGCCACGATGCCACCCACGCGGGCCATGGTGCTGCCAAAGCCCAGCCCGGTCTGCCTGCCGGCACCGCGGGGGGTCAACACGGAGCAGAACCCACCCTGGGGGGTGTCACGGGTGGGTGATGGGGGACCTGCCCCACCGTGGGGTCACGGGGATGGGGTTTTACCTGATGGGAGTGGGGTAGAGCTCGGTGGTGTAGAGGAAGACGCAGTTGAAGGAGGCGGAGAGGCAGCCCTTGCCGATGACGGCCAGCGCCGTGCGCACCGTCTGCAGCTCTGGGGCAGAGAGAGGGACGGGGTGGACTCTGCTTTTGGGCAAGAGCCACCTCAGGGGTGGGGTGATGGTGGGGAGGAGAAAGAAGGGAGGACATAGGGGTGGAGAGGTGGAGAAGTAGTTGGATGGATGGATGGATGGAGACGTGGATGAATGGAGACGTGGATGGTTGGATGGATGGAGATGTGTATCAATGGATGGATGGAGATGTGGATGGATGGATGGATGGATGGATGTTTGGAGATGTGGATGGATGGATGGTTGGAGACGTGGATGGATGGATGAATAGATGGATGGATGGATGGAGATGTGGATGGTTGGAGATGTGGATGGGTGGTAAACGTGGATGGATGAATGGAGACGTGGATGGAGACATGGATGGATGTTTGGAGATGTGGATGGATGGATGGTTGGAGATGTGGATGGATGGATGAATGGATGGATGGATGGTTGGAGATGTGGATGGGTGGAAACGTGGATGGATGGATGGATGGAGACGTGAATGGTTGGATGGATGGATGGAGATGTGGATGGATGGATGGAGACGTGGCTGGATGGGTGGATTCTGAGATGGTGAGTCACCATCCTTGGTGATTTCCAAAAACCATCTGGACAGAGTCTTGGGTGAGCAGCTCTAAGTGGCCCTGCTTAAGCAGGAGGGTTGGGCCAGGTGACCTCCAGAGGTCCCTTCTGACCTCAACCATACTGTGGGTGAGTGAGGGGTTGGTTGATGGGCTGGATGGATGGAGAGATGAGAGCATGGATGGTGAGGTAGGTGAAATGGAGAAGGGAGGGATGGGTGAAGACCAAAGCAGAGTTGTGTGATGGACTGGTGAGGACATGGGTGGCTGGACAGAGCAGTGCAGAAGACCCCCATCGCTCCATCGCACCCACCTGCGGAGACAAAGATGTTGGCAATGATGACCAGCCCCGCCAAGAAGAGGGCCACCATGAGTGACACCCGCCGGCCAATGTAGCTCACGGAGATGGTCACCACCACTTTGGCCGGGAAGTCAACGGCACCGAAAATCACCTGGATGAGGTAAATGCTGACACCAAAGTTTTGCAAATCCATGGCCAGCCCATAGTAGGAGAAGCTGATGGAGAACCTGGAGCGGGGGCAGAGAGAAGCATGGACCTTGAGGTGGTGTGACCTCCCTGGGATGTCACCATCGCATGGGACAGGGCAGGGGTCTCAGGTGGAGGAGAAGAGGGCTTGGTACAATGCCCTGATTGTCTGTCTAGATGTCCATCTTGCCATTCATCCATCTGACCAACCATCTGTCCATCTACCCTTCCATCCATCCACCTGTCTACCCATCCATCCATCCATCCATCCATCCAACCATCCATCCCTCTCTCCTCCTCCTCAGCCCCCTCAGACTTCTCCAGCCCAACCCAGTCCCACCAGACAATGGAGAGGCAGAAGAAGATGTGGCGGATGACTGGGGTCCGGACCAGGTCGGAGATGGTGTAGGAGGCCTTCAAACCAGCCAACTCCTCCTTCATGTTGGACTTTAGGATCTGGGAGAGGGGAGGAGATGGGAGAGGTTGGTTGGGGGACAGGGGTGGGAGACCAAGACCTCCTCTCCATGGAGCCACCATACCTCAACTGTGATCTTCTCCCCTTCCTCCTTCCTCTTGTTAATCCTGGCCACTCGCTGTAGGACCTTCACGGCCCTCTCGGCCCTCCCGGAGAGCACCAACCAACGGGCGGATTCAGCCAACCACCTGCAGCCAACGAGGGGGAAACTGAGGCACGAAGAGAACCCCCCGTGGCCCCGTGACCTTCCCCGAGGGACGCAAATGTCCTACCAGGAGTAGAGGAGGAAGACGAAGAAGGGCAGAGAGACGGTGAGTTGGAGCCAGCGCCAGTGGGGGACAGCGTAGGCCACGCCGGCCAGGAGGATCTGGCCCAGGGTGTAGGCGAAGCCCGTGATGGCCACCGTGATGGCACGATAGGGCGTGGGGATCCACTCCACCACTGCAAGGGACCATGGGGACACATCTGATTGGATGTCCCACCCCTCCGTGACTCTTCTTGTGAGCGTGGCTTCCCCATCGTGGCCAGATGTGTCCTGGATGGATGGAGATGTGGATGGATGGATGGATGGATGGATGTTTGGAGATGTGGATGGATGGATGGTTGGAGACGTGGATGGATGGATGAATAGATGGATGGATGGATGGAGATGTGGATGGTTGGAGATGTGGATGGGTGGTAAACGTGGATGGATGAATGGAGACGTGGATGGAGACATGGATGGATGTTTGGAGATGTGGATGGATGGATGGTTGGAGATGTGGATGGGTGGAAACGTGGATGGATGGATGGATGGAGACGTGAATGGTTGGATGGATGGATGGAGATGTGGATGGATGGATGGAGACGTGGCTGGATGGGTGGATTCTGAGATGGTGAGTCACCATCCTTGGTGATTTCCAAAAACCATCTGGACAGAGTCTTGGGTGAGCAGCTCTAAGTGGCCCTGCTTAAGCAGGAGGGTTGGGCCAGGTGACCTCCAGAGGTCCCTTCTGACCTCAACCATACTGTGGGTGAGTGAGGGGTTGGTTGATGGGCTGGATGGATGGAGAGATGAGAGCATGGATGGTGAGGTAGGTGAAATGGAGAAGGGAGGGATGGGTGAAGACCAAAGCAGAGTTGTGTGATGGACTGGTGAGGACATGGGTGGCTGGACAGAGCAGTGCAGAAGACCCCCATCGCTCCATCGCACCCACCTGCGGAGACAAAGATGTTGGCAATGATGACCAGCCCCGCCAAGAAGAGGGCCACCATGAGTGACACCCGCCGGCCAATGTAGCTCACGGAGATGGTCACCACCACTTTGGCCGGGAAGTCAACGGCACCGAAAATCACCTGGATGAGGTAAATGCTGACACCAAAGTTTTGCAAATCCATGGCCAGCCCATAGTAGGAGAAGCTGATGGAGAACCTGGAGCGGGGGCAGAGAGAAGCATGGACCTTGAGGTGGTGTGACCTCCCTGGGATGTCACCATCGCATGGGACAGGGCAGGGGTCTCAGGTGGAGGAGAAGAGGGCTTGGTACAATGCCCTGATTGTCTGTCTAGATGTCCATCTTGCCATTCATCCATCTGACCAACCATCTGTCCATCTACCCTTCCATCCATCCACCTGTCTACCCATCCATCCATCCATCCATCCATCCAACCATCCATCCCTCTCTCCTCCTCCTCAGCCCCCTCAGACTTCTCCAGCCCAACCCAGTCCCACCAGACAATGGAGAGGCAGAAGAAGATGTGGCGGATGACTGGGGTCCGGACCAGGTCGGAGATGGTGTAGGAGGCCTTCAAACCAGCCAACTCCTCCTTCATGTTGGACTTTAGGATCTGGGAGAGGGGAGGAGATGGGAGAGGTTGGTTGGGGGACAGGGGTGGGAGACCAAGACCTCCTCTCCATGGAGCCACCATACCTCAACTGTGATCTTCTCCCCTTCCTCCTTCCTCTTGTTAATCCTGGCCACTCGCTGTAGGACCTTCACGGCCCTCTCGGCCCTCCCGGAGAGCACCAACCAACGGGCGGATTCAGCCAACCACCTGCAGCCAACGAGGGGGAAACTGAGGCACGAAGAGAACCCCCCGTGGCCCCGTGACCTTCCCCGAGGGACGCAAATGTCCTACCAGGAGTAGAGGAGGAAGACGAAGAAGGGCAGAGAGACGGTGAGTTGGAGCCAGCGCCAGTGGGGGACAGCGTAGGCCACGCCGGCCAGGAGGATCTGGCCCAGGGTGTAGGCGAAGCCCGTGATGGCCACCGTGATGGCACGATAGGGCGTGGGGATCCACTCCACCACTGCAAGGGACCATGGGGACACATCTGATTGGATGTCCCACCCCTCCGTGACTCTTCTTGTGAGCGTGGCTTCCCCATCGTGGCCAGATGTGTCCACACCACATGGTCCCATCCCCGGCCACGGTGATGTCCCTACCGGTGACCACTGGGATGTCCCCATCGGCAGCCATAGGGACATCTCCATCTCTGGGTGGGATTGTCCCCATCCAGAGCCATGTGGCCATCCTTATCACTGTCCCCACCCCTGGCCACTGGGGACATCCACATCCATGGCTATGTCCCTCTCCATGGCCATGCTGGTGTCCCCATCCATGGCCACGGTGATGTCCCCACCCGTGGCCATTGGGACATCCCCAACCACAGCCATTGGGTTGGCCCCATCCATGGCCATTGGGGACAGCCACATCCATGGCCATGGTGATGTCCTTCTCCGTGGCCATGCTCATGTCCCCACCCCTGGCCATTGGGACATCCCCAACCACAGCCATTGGGTTGGCCCCACCCATGGCCATGCCGATTGTCCCCACCATGGTCATCCTCCTCCCCGTCCCCTCACCCAGGCAGGCGATGCTGAGGCCGAAGCCGGAGAGGGCCATGCCACCGGCGAAGCGGAAGACGCAGTAGGACGCGTAGTTGGGGGCGAAGGCCGTGCAGGTCCCCATCACCCCCAGCTGCAGGTAGGACCACATCAACATGGCCTTGCGCCCAAACCTGCAACGGGGACGCACTGGGTGCCACTGGGTGCCACTGGGAGATGTTCTGACCAAGGCCCCATGGGGAAACTGAGGCACGGGGAGGGGTCTCTGCTGCCTTTACCTGTCTGAGAGGCCCCCCAGGACCAGGGCACCCACCAGGACCCCGGCCATGTAGATGGACTGGGCCATCTGCCGGAGCTGCCGGTAGCTGCAGACGAGGTCCCACTGCGGGGTTGAGGATGAGGTGAGGACAACCTGTCCTCTCCTTCCACCCATCACTCCCTCCTATTTTCTCCTGTGCATCCATCCATCTATTCCACCATCTTCATCCTGTCATCCTCATCTTCTCCATATGGGTCCATCTCCACCCCTTCATCTCTGTAGACCTCCACCTTCATCCTCCCAACCCTGGTTGACTCCATCTCCTCCTCTCCATTTCCATATGGCCCCATCTCCATCCTTCCAACCCTATATGGCCCCATCTCCATCCCTTCAACCCTATATGGCTCATCTCTTCATCTCCATATGGTTCCATCTTCATCCCTCCAACCCTGGTTGACTCCTCCTCCTCCTCTCCATTTCCATATGGACCCATCTCCATCCCTCCAACCCTACATGGCTCCATCTCTTCATCTCCATATGGTTCCATCTTCATCCCTCCAACCCTGGTTGACTCCTCCTCCTCCTCTCCATTTCCATATGGCCCCATCTCCATCTCTCCAACCCTATATGACTCCATCTCTTCATCTCCATATGGTTCCATCTTCATCCCTCCAACCCTGGTTGACTCCTTCTCCTCCTCTCCATCTCCATATGGTTCCATCTCCCCCCTTCTATCTCCACGCGGCTCCATCCCTCCATACCTGTCACCACCTTTGATAAGTTGGTGGCCACGTGGACACCAGGGTCATCTTCCCACCCTCCACCCCTCCCCACCTCATCCTCACACCCACCTCGGTGACGATGGTGGCCACGTAGATGCTGCGGTCGTAGTCCCAGCCATCGTGGCAGGGCTCGGTGGGCCAGGGGCCAGTGCTGCTGTTGGCGAGGGATGAGGCCACGTAGCGCCGGCAGGACCCCAGGGTGGCATCGGGAGGCCCCAGGGTGCCATTGGACCACCCCAGGGTGGCATCAGGTGGCCCCAGAGTCCCATTGGAGGACCCCAAGGTGGCATCAGGCTGGATATGGGTGCCATCAGGGGGCCCTGGTAGTCCATCAAGTGTGACGTGGGTGGCACCAGGGATGTAGGTGCCACCAGGAGACCCCAGGTTGCCATCAGGGGACCTCAGGGTGGCACCAGGGGACCCCAAGGTGCCATCAGGAGACCTCAGGATGGCGCTGGAGGACCTCGAGGTGCCATCAGAGGCCACTGAGGTGCCATCAGAGGCAGCCGAGGTGCCATCAGGGGTGGTTCCGGGTGGCCCTGGGGTGGCGCTGGGGACACCTGGGGTGGTACCGGGACCCGGGGTGACACTGGGGACGTGGCAGCGGTGGGGTGGGACGGCAGCGGTGAAGTTCTGCAGCAGGTTGTGACTGGCCATGAGCAGGATGGGCACCGCCAGCAGCGCCGTCTGCAGGACCTGGAAGCGTCCCAGCCCCCCGACCTGCTCCAGCACCGCCCCGAACGGCATCCTGGGACGTGGGGACACCATCAGACATGGGGACACCAGGACACGGGGAACATCATCGCTCATGGGGACACCACCACCACCCCCCTGGGGACACCATCAGCCGTTGGGATGCCATCAACCCCACAGCATTTGGACGTGGGGACACCGCTGGACACCAGGGTAGGGGAGACACCATCACTTGTGGGGACATCGTCACTCGTGGGGACATCATCACTTCTAGGGCCACCACTGGCCACCAGGGTATGGGCAACACCATCACCCAAAGGGACATCATTGGACACAGGGAGAACCAGGGCATGGGGAGCACCACCACCCATGGGGACACCATCACTCGTGGGGACAGTCATCTACAGGAGCACCATCATCCATGGGGACACCATCATCCATGGGGACAGTCATCCACAGGAGCACCACCACCCATGGGGACAACATCATCCACGGGGACAGTCATCCACAGGAGCACCACCACCCATGGGGACACCATCATCCATGGAGAAAATCATCTACAGGAGCACCATCATCCATGAGGACACCATCATCCATGGGGACACCATCATCCATAGGGACAGTCATCCACAGGAGCACCCCCACCCATGGGGACACCATCATCCATGGGGACACCATCACTCATAGGGACAGTCATCTACAGGAGCACCACCACCCATGGGGACACCATCATCCATGGGGACACCATCATCCATGGGGACAGTCATCTACAGGAGCACCACCATCCATGGGGACACCATCATCCACGGGGACAGTCATCCACAGGAGCACCACCACCCATGGGGACACCATCATCCACGGGGACACCATCATCCATGGGGACAGTCATCTACAGGAGCACCACCACCCATGGGGACACCATCATCCATGGGGACACCATCACCTGTTGAGTGACCGTCACCCACAGGGACACTGTCACCTACAAGGACACCCTCAGAGGGGACGTTGCCACCCACAGGGACATGAGCGTTGTGTGTTCACGAGTCAGATGCCACCAGGAGCGAGGAGATGGGGACAGGAGGACATGGGGACAGCAGGACATGGGGATGGGGACACGTGGTGGCACCCGTCAGACGTGGGGAGGGGACACGGGGCCGGCAGAAGGACAGGGACCATGGGTACACGGTGGGGAGGACACGGTGACCACCAGGGAACGGAGCAGGCAGGGATGGTGTCACCACTTGCGTCACGCGTCCCCAACCCCTCCCGATGTCCCCAACCCCCCCTGATGTCCCCAACCCCTCCCAGCGTGTCCCTGTTCCGGCTCCCTGGGGACGAGGACATCCGGCCAGCTGTGACTCCCGTGTCCCCAAGGTGAAGGGTCCCTTCTTTGATGTCCCCAGCAGGTTCCTGGCCCCGTGTCCCCTGCTCCTTGTGTCCCTTCTCCAACGTCCCCATCCCCTCAGTGACCCAAACTCACCCCCACGTACCCTCTTCTGGTGTCCCCCAATGTCCCCAACCTGTCCCACTGTCTCCCTTCTGATGTCCCCAATCCATCCCATGTCCCCTCTGTGATGTCCCCAACCCCCCCTGATGTCCCCCACCCCTCCCGATGTCCCCACCCCCTCCACGATGTCCCCAACCCATCCCCATGTCCCCACCATGTCTCCCAACGTCCCCAACCTGCCCCACTGTCTCCCTTCTGATGTCCCCAATCCATCCCATGTCCCCTCTGTGATGTCCCCAACCCCCCCTGATGTCCCCCACCCCTCCCGATGTCCCCACCCCCTCCACGATGTCCCCAACCCATCCCCATGTCCCCACCATGTCTCCCAACGTCCCCAACCTGCCCCACTGTCTCCCTTCTGATGTCCCCAATCCATCCCATGTCCCCTCTGTGATGTCCCCAACCCCCCCTGATGTCCCCCACCCCTCCCGATGTCCCCACCCCCTCCACGATGTCCCCAACCCATCCCCATGTCCCCACCATGTCTCCCAACGTCCCCAACCTGCCCCACTGTCTCCCTTCTGATGTCCCCAATCCATCCCATGTCCCCTCTGTGATGTCCCCAACCCCCCCTGATGTCCCCCACCCCTCCCGATGTCCCCACCCCCTCCACGATGTCCCCAACCCATCCCCATGTCCCCACCATGTCTCCCAACGTCCCCAACCTGTCCCACTGTCCCTCTTCTGATGTCCCCAACCCCTCCCTGATGTCCCCAACCCATCCCCGGCAGCTCTAAGTGGCCCTGCTTAAGCAGGAGGGTTGGGCCAGGTGACCTCCAGAGGTCCCTTCTGACCTCAACCATACTGTGGGTGAGTGAGGGGTTGGTTGATGGGCTGGATGGATGGAGAGATGAGAGCATGGATGGTGAGGTAGGTGAAATGGAGAAGGGAGGGATGGGTGAAGACCAAAGCAGAGTTGTGTGATGGACTGGTGAGGACATGGGTGGCTGGACAGAGCAGTGCAGAAGACCCCCATCGCTCCATCGCACCCACCTGCGGAGACAAAGATGTTGGCAATGATGACCAGCCCCGCCAAGAAGAGGGCCACCATGAGTGACACCCGCCGGCCAATGTAGCTCACGGAGATGGTCACCACCACTTTGGCCGGGAAGTCAACGGCACCGAAAATCACCTGGATGAGGTAAATGCTGACACCAAAGTTTTGCAAATCCATGGCCAGCCCATAGTAGGAGAAGCTGATGGAGAACCTGGAGCGGGGGCAGAGAGAAGCATGGACCTTGAGGTGGTGTGACCTCCCTGGGATGTCACCATCGCATGGGACAGGGCAGGGGTCTCAGGTGGAGGAGAAGAGGGCTTGGTACAATGCCCTGATTGTCTGTCTAGATGTCCATCTTGCCATTCATCCATCTGACCAACCATCTGTCCATCTACCCTTCCATCCATCCACCTGTCTACCCATCCATCCATCCATCCATCCATCCAACCATCCATCCCTCTCTCCTCCTCCTCAGCCCCCTCAGACTTCTCCAGCCCAACCCAGTCCCACCAGACAATGGAGAGGCAGAAGAAGATGTGGCGGATGACTGGGGTCCGGACCAGGTCGGAGATGGTGTAGGAGGCCTTCAAACCAGCCAACTCCTCCTTCATGTTGGACTTTAGGATCTGGGAGAGGGGAGGAGATGGGAGAGGTTGGTTGGGGGACAGGGGTGGGAGACCAAGACCTCCTCTCCATGGAGCCACCATACCTCAACTGTGATCTTCTCCCCTTCCTCCTTCCTCTTGTTAATCCTGGCCACTCGCTGTAGGACCTTCACGGCCCTCTCGGCCCTCCCGGAGAGCACCAACCAACGGGCGGATTCAGCCAACCACCTGCAGCCAACGAGGGGGAAACTGAGGCACGAAGAGAACCCCCCGTGGCCCCGTGACCTTCCCCGAGGGACGCAAATGTCCTACCAGGAGTAGAGGAGGAAGACGAAGAAGGGCAGAGAGACGGTGAGTTGGAGCCAGCGCCAGTGGGGGACAGCGTAGGCCACGCCGGCCAGGAGGATCTGGCCCAGGGTGTAGGCGAAGCCCGTGATGGCCACCGTGATGGCACGATAGGGCGTGGGGATCCACTCCACCACTGCAAGGGACCATGGGGACACATCTGATTGGATGTCCCACCCCTCCGTGACTCTTCTTGTGAGCGTGGCTTCCCCATCGTGGCCAGATGTGTCCACACCACATGGTCCCATCCCCGGCCACGGTGATGTCCCTACCGGTGACCACTGGGATGTCCCCATCGGCAGCCATAGGGACATCTCCATCTCTGGGTGGGATTGTCCCCATCCAGAGCCATGTGGCCATCCTTATCACTGTCCCCACCCCTGGCCACTGGGGACATCCACATCCATGGCTATGTCCCTCTCCATGGCCATGCTGGTGTCCCCATCCATGGCCACGGTGATGTCCCCACCCGTGGCCATTGGGACATCCCCAACCACAGCCATTGGGTTGGCCCCATCCATGGCCATTGGGGACAGCCACATCCATGGCCATGGTGATGTCCTTCTCCGTGGCCATGCTCATGTCCCCACCCATGGCCATGGTGATGTCCTTCTCCGTGGCCATGCTCATGTCCCCACCCCTGGCCATTGGGACATCCCCAACCACAGCCATTGGGTTGGCCCCACCCATGGCCATGCCGATTGTCCCCACCATGGTCATCCTCCTCCCCGTCCCCTCACCCAGGCAGGCGATGCTGAGGCCGAAGCCGGAGAGGGCCATGCCACCGGCGAAGCGGAAGACGCAGTAGGACGCGTAGTTGGGGGCGAAGGCCGTGCAGGTCCCCATCACCCCCAGCTGCAGGTAGGACCACATCAACATGGCCTTGCGCCCAAACCTGCAACGGGGACGCACTGGGTGCCACTGGGTGCCACTGGGAGATGTTCTGACCAAGGCCCCATGGGGAAACTGAGGCACGGGGAGGGGTCTCTGCTGCCTTTACCTGTCTGAGAGGCCCCCCAGGACCAGGGCACCCACCAGGACCCCGGCCATGTAGATGGACTGGGCCATCTGCCGGAGCTGCCGGTAGCTGCAGACGAGGTCCCACTGCGGGGTTGAGGATGAGGTGAGGACAACCTGTCCTCTCCTTCCACCCATCACTCCCTCCTATTTTCTCCTGTGCATCCATCCATCTATTCCACCATCTTCATCCTGTCATCCTCATCTTCTCCATATGGGTCCATCTCCACCCCTTCATCTCTGTAGACCTCCACCTTCATCCTCCCAACCCTGGTTGACTCCATCTCCTCCTCTCCATTTCCATATGGCCCCATCTCCATCCTTCCAACCCTATATGGCCCCATCTCCATCCCTTCAACCCTATATGGCTCATCTCTTCATCTCCATATGGTTCCATCTTCATCCCTCCAACCCTGGTTGACTCCTCCTCCTCCTCTCCATTTCCATATGGACCCATCTCCATCCCTCCAACCCTACATGGCTCCATCTCTTCATCTCCATATGGTTCCATCTTCATCCCTCCAACCCTGGTTGACTCCTCCTCCTCCTCTCCATTTCCATATGGCCCCATCTCCATCTCTCCAACCCTATATGACTCCATCTCTTCATCTCCATATGGTTCCATCTTCATCCCTCCAACCCTGGTTGACTCCTTCTCCTCCTCTCCATCTCCATATGGTTCCATCTCCCCCCTTCTATCTCCACGCGGCTCCATCCCTCCATACCTGTCACCACCTTTGATAAGTTGGTGGCCACGTGGACACCAGGGTCATCTTCCCACCCTCCACCCCTCCCCACCTCATCCTCACACCCACCTCGGTGACGATGGTGGCCACGTAGATGCTGCGGTCGTAGTCCCAGCCATCGTGGCAGGGCTCGGTGGGCCAGGGGCCAGTGCTGCTGTTGGCGAGGGATGAGGCCACGTAGCGCCGGCAGGACCCCAGGGTGGCATCGGGAGGCCCCAGGGTGCCATTGGACCACCCCAGGGTGGCATCAGGTGGCCCCAGAGTCCCATTGGAGGACCCCAAGGTGGCATCAGGCTGGATATGGGTGCCATCAGGGGGCCCTGGTAGTCCATCAAGTGTGACGTGGGTGGCACCAGGGATGTAGGTGCCACCAGGAGACCCCAGGTTGCCATCAGGGGACCTCAGGGTGGCACCAGGGGACCCCAAGGTGCCATCAGGAGACCTCAGGATGGCGCTGGAGGACCTCGAGGTGCCATCAGAGGCCACTGAGGTGCCATCAGAGGCAGCCGAGGTGCCATCAGGGGTGGTTCCGGGTGGCCCTGGGGTGGCGCTGGGGACACCTGGGGTGGTACCGGGACCCGGGGTGACACTGGGGACGTGGCAGCGGTGGGGTGGGACGGCAGCGGTGAAGTTCTGCAGCAGGTTGTGACTGGCCATGAGCAGGATGGGCACCGCCAGCAGCGCCGTCTGCAGGACCTGGAAGCGTCCCAGCCCCCCGACCTGCTCCAGCACCGCCCCGAACGGCATCCTGGGACGTGGGGACACCATCAGACATGGGGACACCAGGACACGGGGAACATCATCGCTCATGGGGACACCACCACCACCCCCCTGGGGACACCATCAGCCGTTGGGATGCCATCAACCCCACAGCATTTGGACGTGGGGACACCGCTGGACACCAGGGTAGGGGAGACACCATCACTTGTGGGGACATCGTCACTCGTGGGGACATCATCACTTCTAGGGCCACCACTGGCCACCAGGGTATGGGCAACACCATCACCCAAAGGGACATCATTGGACACAGGGAGAACCAGGGCATGGGGAGCACCACCACCCATGGGGACACCATCACTCGTGGGGACAGTCATCTACAGGAGCACCATCATCCATGGGGACACCATCATCCATGGGGACAGTCATCCACAGGAGCACCACCACCCATGGGGACAACATCATCCACGGGGACAGTCATCCACAGGAGCACCACCACCCATGGGGACACCATCATCCATGGAGAAAATCATCTACAGGAGCACCATCATCCATGAGGACACCATCATCCATGGGGACACCATCATCCATAGGGACAGTCATCCACAGGAGCACCCCCACCCATGGGGACACCATCATCCATGGGGACACCATCACTCATAGGGACAGTCATCTACAGGAGCACCACCACCCATGGGGACACCATCATCCATGGGGACACCATCATCCATGGGGACAGTCATCTACAGGAGCACCACCATCCATGGGGACACCATCATCCACGGGGACAGTCATCCACAGGAGCACCACCACCCATGGGGACACCATCATCCACGGGGACACCATCATCCATGGGGACAGTCATCTACAGGAGCACCACCACCCATGGGGACACCATCATCCATGGGGACACCATCACCTGTTGAGTGACCGTCACCCACAGGGACACTGTCACCTACAAGGACACCCTCAGAGGGGACGTTGCCACCCACAGGGACATGAGCGTTGTGTGTTCACGAGTCAGATGCCACCAGGAGCGAGGAGATGGGGACAGGAGGACATGGGGACAGCAGGACATGGGGATGGGGACACGTGGTGGCACCCGTCAGACGTGGGGAGGGGACACGGGGCCGGCAGAAGGACAGGGACCATGGGTACACGGTGGGGAGGACACGGTGACCACCAGGGAACGGAGCAGGCAGGGATGGTGTCACCACTTGCGTCACGCGTCCCCAACCCCTCCCGATGTCCCCAACCCCCCCTGATGTCCCCAACCCCTCCCAGCGTGTCCCTGTTCCGGCTCCCTGGGGACGAGGACATCCGGCCAGCTGTGACTCCCGTGTCCCCAAGGTGAAGGGTCCCTTCTTTGATGTCCCCAGCAGGTTCCTGGCCCCGTGTCCCCTGCTCCTTGTGTCCCTTCTCCAACGTCCCCATCCCCTCAGTGACCCAAACTCACCCCCACGTACCCTCTTCTGGTGTCCCCCAATGTCCCCTGGTCCCCAACCCCTCCTTGATGTCCCCAACTTGTCCCCACTTCAATGTCCCCGACCCCTCCATGATGTCCCCAAGTCCCCAACCCATCCCAGGCACTCTCCATGATGTCCCCATCATGATGTCCCCAACCCATCCCCATGTCCCCCAACATCCCCAACCTGTCCCACTGTCCCCCTTCTGATGTCCCCACCCCATCCC